CAATGTAGATATTCACACACGAGGCTGTATGACGTGTGATTATCCCTGAGTTACTGGGGACTGATACGTACAATGTAGATATTCACACGCGAGGCTGTATGAAGTGTGATTATCCCTGAGTTACTGGGGACTGATACGTACAATGTAGATATTCACACACGAGGCCGTATGACGTGTGATTATCCCTGAGTTACTGGGGACTGATACGTACAATGTAAATATTCACACGCGAGGCTGTATGAAGTGTGATTATCCCTGAGTTACTGGGGACTGATACGTACAATGTAAATATTCACGCTCGAGGCTGTATGAAGTGTGATTATCCCTGAGTTACTGGGGACTGATACGTACAATGTTAATATTCACACACGAGGCTGTATGAAGTGTGATTATCCCTGAGCTACTTTGGAATGATATCACTAATGTAAATGATGAAATTCTACATTACAAAGCAATAATTGGAAATCTGATAAGGTCAATATTTCTAACAAATAAGTTCCTTGTATTTATGAATTTTCTTATTATCTAGGTCTATAGAAATGATTTGAATATTCGGTAGTTCATAGAGAACATTTTTAAAGAAATATATTCATTGAATAAGGAAGGCATTTGTAAAGATTTGACATGATCCTACAGGATTAATTACCATATCTATATATATATATTATAAGTCTTTGCTGCTACACTGTCAGAGATCACCTTGTTAATTAGGACATCAAAGTTAACGGTGAATGAATATAAAAACATACTTCAATGTTAATGAGATGTATATGTGGGGTCTGTTGGATTATACAGTAGTGGCATGCTTGTTTTGAACCTGATTGACTGGGGTTAAAGATTGTCCAAGATTTGGCAAGAAAACTTCAGGGTTTTTCCCGGAGACTCCAGTTTCCTTCCATTTCAATTTAAAGTTTTGAATTAAGATCAATTCTAACATTTCAATTTTGATCAAACTTTATATATAGTAAGGATGGACACTTCAACATTCATGATTAGGTACCTATCATTTATAACATAGGATGTCCTTCAGAAGATCCTCTAAACTGGGTCAGTGGTGGCTAGGTATCGGGGACAATCCGTCTCCCGGAGGCTGGAATCGCTGAGGTTGATATAGTGAAGTGGTACAACACTATGTTAGGAAAGATTGATTGATTTTCATTATAAACAAACACTGGTGCTAAGTTTTGTTAATGATATATACATCTACTGGTGTATTAAAACATTGTAAACTATGTCTACAATGACATATGACCTCATAGGGTGAAGAAATAGCACCCACACGATTGGCATGATTGGCAACCTCACGATCAGTACTATATAGGGAACGTCACCCTTAACTTTAAATGGTCCACTGGTTGTTAGTCCTACTACACCGTACAGGAGACATAGGCCTCGAGAGTGCCAGTTTATCAGCTTTGTCAATACTTGAAACTTTATATCATTCATGTATGCTGTCCATACATGTAGGTATCCTCAGATTTACAAAGTAATGTGTACTATGAAAAATTTTAATGGAATTCTTTTTACCGACAGATGACTTTAAAGTGACTCAGCTTTATGTGATTTTGGCCCCATGTTATTTTATCTTTAGTAAAACAAGATGTGGGTTACAAGAACTAATACGTATTATTGTATGTAGGTAATGGGTTGTAAGTGGATTAAGGTATTGATTTTAATAAATCACTACATATGTAATTATAGATAAAATGTTTTTAGGTCGGATCAGTGGACGTTTGAAGTATAGGCCACTAGGTTAAACTCTGATAATCAGTTTTGTTATTATGTATTGTTCTTATTCAAAACACTTTTCTGAAAATCTGTTATTGTGATATTACTGTGTAATATAAATTACAGTCCCTACAGTGGTCAACAGAAATGTTTCTGAAGTTTGAACGGTATCATGCTGGTAGGCATTTTAACACTTGGAAGGTTTTACTTTCAGCAAGCTTCAATTTTTCAACAGCTAAAATTTTGAAAATATGTATAAGTTTCACATCTTATGATATGTTTATCATAACCAAGTATTTGTTGTGGATATCTGTGAGTGTTGAGTGTAATTGTGACACTATGCTGTTTGTGTTAAGTACCATTGTTTTACAGGCACCAGCAAAGTACTGTTCTGATGCATTTGATTAACTTGGTGTTCATAAAACAGTTTATGTAATGTGTGTTACAACAGGATGTCATTACAGTCAAACCTGTCTTTAAAGGTCACTCTTGTTATACAGAGATGACAGGTATAGACATGTGTTTATTATATAAAGGTGACCTGTATAGTCAGGTATTTGTTATATAAAGGTGACCTGTATAGTCAGGTATTGTTATATAAAGGTGACCTGTATAGTCAGGTATTTGTTATATAAAGGTGACCTGTATAGTCAGGTATTGTTATATAAAGGTGACCTGTATAGTCAGGTATTGTTATATAGAGGTGACCTGTATAGACATGTGTTTATCATATAGAGGTGACCTGTATAGTCAGGTATTGTTATATAAAGGTGACCTGTATAGTCAGGTATTGTTATATAGAGGTGACCTGTATAGACATGTATTGTTATATAAAGGTGACCTGTATAGTCAGGTATTGTTATATAGAGGTAACCTGTATAGTCAGGTATTTGTTATACAGAGGTGGCCTGTATAGACAGGTATTTGTTATATACAGGTGACCTGTATAGACAGGTATTGTTATATAGAGGCAACCTGTATAGGCAGGTATTGTTATATAGAGGTAACCTGTATAGTCAGGTATTTGTTATACAGAGGTGGCCTGTATAGACAGGTATTTGTTATATAGAGGTGACCTGTATAGACAGGTATTGTTATATAGAGGTGACCTGTATAGTCAGGTATTGTTATATAGAGATGGCCTGTATACTCAGGTATTTGTTATATAGAGGTGACCTGTATAGTCAGGTATTGTTATATAGAGGTTATCTGTACAGTCAGGTATTTGTTATATAGAGGTGACCTGTATAGTCAGGTATTTGTTATATAGAGGTGACCTGTATAGTCAGGTATCATTATATAGAGGTAACCTGTATAGTCAGGTATTGTTATATAGAAGTGGCCTGTAAAGACAGGTATTTGTTATATAGAGGTGGCCTGTATAGTCAGGTATTGTTATATAGAGATGACCTGTATACTCAGGTATTTGTTATATAGTGGTGACCTGTATAGTCAGGTATTGTTATATAGAGGTGGTCTGTATAGTCAGGTATTTGTTATATAGAGATGGCCTGTATACTCTCGTATTTCTTATATAGTGGTGACCTGTATAGTCAGGTATTGTTATATAGAGGTTATCTGTATAGTCAGGTATTTGTTATATAGAGGTGACCTGTATAGTCAGGTATTTGTTATATAGAGGTGACCTGTATAGTCAGGTATCGTTATATAGAGGTAACCTGTATAGTCAGGTATTGTTATATAGAAGTGGCCTGTAAAGACAGGTATTTGTTATATAGAGGTGGCCTGTATAGTCAGGTATTGTTATATAGAGATGACCTGTATAGACAGGTATTGTTATATAGAGGTAACCTTTATTGAGAGGTATTTGTGATGTATAGGTACATGACCTTTATATAGCAATTGATTTTCTCTACTTTCTTTCATATTTCATGAAGCCCATTAAATTTATGATATACAGTGTACAGGCATTGAATTTTAATGGTGTCATATATGTGTAAATGAGTAAGTTGTAGAAGATCTAAAGATTAGAAATATATCTCTTATAACACAGTAATATTTATTAAAAATGTTTTAGAGGAAAGTTGTATCCTGTGTGATATAGACTAGACTGGCCCTTTCAATGGAATCATGGATAAGGAAGAAAAGAGATTGAATATTCTAATTTTCAATATATTTCTGTTCTCAAGTTTCAAATGAGGGGAAAAATAAACCAGCAGAATAAAACTAAGGGGTAGCCTAGGCATAAGGGCTGACCAAGTTAACCTGCCTTACACTGATAGTGGGAGGTTTGGCACTTCAGGGAATGTGTGTGTGTCCTTTGTTACATTACAAGTGAATTTCATTTACGCATTTAGAGACAACTTGGATATAAGCCCAGGGACCTGTAACAATGTTTCTAGAGAATGAGGGCTTGTATGGTTAATTATAAGTACCAGGTAGTATTTGTAGTAAACCATACATGCCTCATCCCCAAGTAATATTGTTACAGGCCCCAGAGGATGTAAGTTGTCATTTGGACTTAAGTGATCAACTACATACAAAATTGCTTATTTAATATTAAGTAAGAATGAATGACATCATTAATTCATTAAGGTGACACTTATAATTAATTTAAAAGGGAGATCACTCTTACACATCTATATTATATGTGTAAAGTGGCACATGTAGCCTTAACCTGTTTTTTTTTCTTATGTCTTGTGCTTGATTCCCCTTTTTTGTGGAAATTTATCTGCTTTTTTAAATCTGAAACATTTTTTATTTTATTTCTTACTTTTGACACTGTTCAAAGGTTGAAATATGCCACAAGATGTAGATATAGATGTGAATGGTAGATTCATATCCATGGGACACATTTTGAAATATTCTTTGTATTTTCTTTTAATTACAATTAATCACCACACTGAGAAAAAATTGCCACTTTTAAATATTTTGATTGTTAGTTTTTTAATAAATGTTCACTTTTTCTATTAACATTTTGTTTGAAAAGTTTGAAAAGTGGTCTTGTTTAGAAATAAGGTGTTTGTTTTGTTGGTAATTTAAAAGAAAAGAAAAATTATCATTTATTTATTATTAGTTGAAGAAACACTTTTGTGTATGTGAAAAATTATGGACAAAAGATGTTCATGAGTTGTCAGCACAATTTTTAGGATGAAGTTCAAATCCAAATTTTATAATGAACCGCATGATTGTGAACCGATCAGCACTACCTGATCCTGTACATGGATCAAACACATATGTCTACATTTTTTTATACATATGCATTGAGATCCTACTAATTACTGATTAACTGAATTTTTTTTTTTTTTTAGGGGCAGGATGACATTGTGTTTGAGACATTTTACCATCGCAGTGGTAAGGAGATACAGTGTATGTACCAAGGTAACACAAGATACTATCTTGACCACTGGGGATCAAAGGTAACTAACTAGTAGTAACTGTCTGTGTAGTGTGTCATTTAATTTTTACAAACCTGTCAAAATTTTTGTCAGGATGTATTTTCATATGGAAGAACACTAAGTTGTGTTTTCCTGAACAACATTAGGATTGGACAGAAGAGCAATTGCCCTTTGTTTTTTTCCTTTATTTTAATCTTAACAGGAGAATGATTTAAACCCATTTTTTTCATACTTGATATATTTTATAACTGTGATATGAAATTGGGTTTTCCAGAGTGGTGTTCAGTTGCTATTTGATTTTTTGAATTTTTTTGTTTGTTTTTGTTTTTGTTTTTTTTTATTTTGGCAAGAGATTTCTCTTATCCTAGTTTTTAAAGGGAGATCACTCTAGTGCCATTGATCTCCTCAAAACAAGATACACATCAAAGCAAATAGCATTGTTCTCTCTAATGACATTTTGACTTGGCAAGTTTTGAAAGAGTTATTGCCATTTGTTGCTCTTATTTTTCAACCATTTTGATTCATACTTTGATGATAACGACATTGAATTGTCCTTTCTTCATGGAATTATTATCTATCTGTATTCAATAGATAGAATAAAGCTTTCTTTGGCATGTTTAGGCCAACCAGCATATATATACTGTTCTTAACTCTGGTGCTCTTTGTTTCTGTATCATAATACATTATCATATTATTGTATCCTTCAGGAGTGGCAGTTATTTCCAAAACGCTGGTATAATGAAGGTCTTCTCATCACTAACACTGTTCTTAAGGATGACCAGGCTCAGGTTAGTAAAACAACAGACAGTCTTGTAAAGTCAGGATGAAGTTTTCCATGATTAACAGGGATTTGCTTATATTCTGAAATGTATGTAGTAACTCTCACAGACAACATTGTCCCACAGATATTTATCAAATGGCAAAAATGAAACATCAAGGTTTTAAGAGTTGTATTATCAAATAAAAAGTTAAATAACAAGTCCCACTTTTGTATAATCAAACAAACAAACAAACAAAAAATGAATAAAATTAAGCAACAAGGTCTCAGTGCTGTATTACCAAATGTGAAATAGCAACAACAAGATTTCAGTGTTGTATAGGAAACACACACATAAAAAAAGAAAAAAACACACAATTTATAGTCATATTTCAAATTCTGATGAAAAACGATAAAATATATGATTGATTTGACAGGCATATCAAGCATCACAACAGGCTCGTGGCGCAGCAGCTGGATCTGGGGCAGGTGGAGGAGCTGGGACCTCAGGCTCTAGTGAGGCATCTCAACAGGGGCCATCACGCTCACGGAGGGGAGGGGATGACAGAGAGGGTGTGCTCAAACATCCAACCAAGGGAAAGATACCAACATATATATACCAGGTATTGTTTTGAAATCTTTGTTGATTTTTCATTTTTGCAGTGTAACATCTTGTTAGACTATGTCTTTGTTTTAATATAACAAAAGACAGGAAAGCTGTGAAAGTGTAGGTAAAGCCTGTTAGATGAACTGAAGTAAGTATGTAAAATGTCCCCATCAAAATATCATACAGGTTGACTCTGTAATATAACAATGTTCATTTAAAATGTGTATGATAATTTTGAACCCATAACTATTTCAAATAATTAATGAAAGATAAAAAGCAGTTCTTATTTTCATTTTTTCATGGTATTTCCACAGAGGAAACACAACATTCACTTTTTTTACGACCAAAATGAGGGGCAATGGATGAGAATGCCAATAGGCTGGGAGCTTCACCATGAGATGGTCGGCCGGCTTGTCAATCAGGTTGAAGAAATGTTGCCGACTTGGGGTGACCGTGGCGACATCCTGGCACTTCTTCGGCAGTGTAATTACGACATTGATGAATGTATCTCTACATATCTACATCTAGAGGGAGATCGTAAGTACATCAGACATGAAGCAAATACCAACATGGCAACATGATTATAATTTATACTTAAATTCCATAAAACTAGGGCAAATATGAACAACAAAAACTTTTACACAGAAAAAGTACAAGGAGAATAAGACTTCTGTTTCATTGACGAAAAACACCATGTAAACATTGGTCAATCCAAGTAAGTAATGTCAGGTTCTCAAATGAGAACAAGGTATACAACAATGGAACCTACAGGCAAACTAACGAGCATCAAATACGTCCAGTTTCATGTTGCACAAAGAAATAGAATATTTCTCAATAAGATCACTTTGGAAACATAAAACTTCCCCATATTTTTATCAATCTGCATTTTTTGAACCCTTGTGTTAGGAGCTTGTCAGTCCTTTGAGGATGTTACTTCTAGGATGGGGGCATTGACTGATTAAAGAGTTTAATTAATGGCAGGAGGTTAAACATTAAACTTTAGTTTGCAACAGTTATTAACCATATTATACAAACTTATATATATGACAGTCTTGTTAGCCCATTCAGAAATGTGTAAAGGGTCTTACTTTGGAAGGAGGCTAGAGTATCTGAGAAAAAACTTATATGATTGGACATGTGATCCCTCATCTCACATCTGTTCAGGGAATCAAACCCCAGATTTTGAGACGTGTTTGTTAACCATTGTGCCACTTCACCAGAGCCCTCAAATTAACTGGTGCTTTCCTCAGTGTAGTATCAGATGTTATCTATCAAAACATAGTTATTTCAATCAACTTGTCATGTATTTATGTAATACTTCAGATAATTATTTTTTGTTGTGTAATTTAGCCTGGCTGAAAGCAGCAAAAACATCAAAGGAATTAAAAGGCAACGAAGAAAAGGATGAAAAGATTGCTGAACTAGAAAAAAAAGTTAAGGAATTGGTAGGTATTTGTAGACACTATCAAAAAAAGTAATATTTGAATTTGTTGATATTGTTGGGACAGGACATTTTGAAGTAATGATATATATCTTATTCTCTGGCGTTCAACTTGTCCCAGTCAAGTTATTTAACATCTAGTAATACAAAAACCTGATAATCTATTGAAGAGAAACTGGAAGATTTCAATAAGAACAAAGATTATGATACAAAAACTGTACACTAGTAAGCTTGAAGAACAGTAGTCAAATGTCTTCATACATTTTTTTTTCATTTTTCTTTACAGCAAAATGAACTCAATAAAGAACGAAAAGAAAGACAAGATGCAGAAAAGATTGTAAGTTTGTGTGGTGTTTGGAAATATCAGAGAAATTGACCCTGTCAGTCACATTTTATTCCCTCACCTAAGACATGATACACCTTATTAGAAGTTCTAGTCATGGTAATCTTTTTCAAATAAAAGATTTATGTTTCTTTTAAACATTCTAGATTTTATAAAAATGAGAAACAGTATACCCATGTTATATATGTAATGTCTGTCGACCATATGTTGTGTTGTGTCCGTCGACCATATATTGTGTTGTGTCTGTTGACCATATATTGTGTTGTGTACGTCGACCATATATTGTGTTGTGTCCGTCGACCATATATTGTGTTGTGTCCGTCGACCATATATTGTGTTGTGTCCGTCGACCATATATTGTGTTGTGTCCATTGACCATATATTGTGTTGTGTCCGTTGACCATATATTGTGTTGTGTCCGTTGACCATATATTGTGTTGTGTCTGTTGACCATATATTGTGTTGTGTCTGTTGACCATATATTGTGTTGTGTCTGTTGACCATATATTGTGTTGTGTCCGTTGACCATATATTGTGTTGTGTCCGTTGACCATATATTGTGTTGTGTCCATTGACCATATATTGTGTTGTGTCTGTTGACCATATATTGTGTTGTGTCCATTGACCATATATTGTGTTGTGTCTGTTGACCATATATTGTGTTGTGTCCATTGACCATATATTGTGTTGTGTCTGTTGACCATATATTGTGTTGTGTCCATTGACCATATATTGTGTTGTGTCTGTTGACCATATATTGTGTTGTGTCTGTTGACCATATATTGTGTTGTGTCTGTTGACCATATATTGTGTTGTGTCCATTGACCATATATTGTGTTATATTGGTCCAATAAAAAACTGAAGACAGGTAATTATTTGTGATTGTGTTGGATGTGTACAGGTGAAGGACCAGCAGGAGAAGTTGACAGATCTAGAAGTTAACTATAAACAAGCTGAGGCGCAGTTGTCCTCCATGTCATCCACGCGACCCAAGTCCAGCTTACGGCCAAAGACACCACAGGTAATTTATAGTGATTCTGGTAACACAGTTGTACCAACTAGAGTATGACGTGCAATCCGAGTCTAGCTTACAGTCAAAGACAGTAGTGATTATTGTAAATTCTTGTAAACCCATCTGTACCACTCTGACAACACCACGAGAACCTACCGTAGTCACATGAAAAGCATAGTGATTCTTGTTCTAGCAATTGTATCTCCCTGTGTACACTGTAGATAATGTAATTACTGGACAGGTGTGGAATATTTATTAAATGATAAGACCTTAAATTGAAACAAAAAGAAAGAAAAAGAAATACAAAACAAAGATATTATGATGTTAAAGAAATTCTGAGCTCTATCATCCTTACAGACTTATACAGAAAACAGATGTCTGTCATCCTTACAGACTTATACAGAAAACAGGTGTCTATCATCCTTACAGACTTATACAGAAAACAGGTGTCTATCATCCTTACAGACTTATACAGAAAACAGGTGTCTATCATCCTTACAGACTTATACAGAAAACAGGTGTCTATCATCCTTACAGACTTATACAGAAAACAGGTGTCTATCATCCCTACTTATAGATATACAGAAAATAGGTGTCTACCATCCCTACAGACTTACAGATATACAGAAAATAGGTGTCTACCATCCCTACAGACTTACAGATATACAGAAAACAGGTGTCTACCATCCTTACAGACTTATAGATATACAGAAAACAGGTCTCTACCATCCCTACAGACTTATAGATATAAGTATACAGAAAACAGCATAGATTTGGTGTTATCTCTTATACTGGTGTTTATGACCATTGGCCTGCAGGTTGTTACGACAGTTGTAAAGGAAGAGACGGTGAACCCTGAAGATATTGAGCTTCTTAATGATACAGCAAAGTCTGTTAGGAAGGCACACGCACAGCTTAAGCTGGAGGTTCAGCGGAAGTTTGAAGGCCTTGGAGTGATGATGACTGAGGTGAGTCTTGACTTCTGTCTGTGCAAAATATAAAACCATGTCATTTTGATGTTTATTATCACTCCTTAATCATTGGCTGATCTCTCTCAGTGTACTTTAGACCTAAAACATCAACTAGCAATATATCTCCAAAAACTTTTTTAAACAAGCCTTAGATAATCAATGATAATAATATTTTTCCAGTAACATGATACAAAAATGTCAAGGTTTAAATTTGTGCTATATTTGGCCTGTTTACTTCTTTGGAAGTGTTAAGACATGAGTAAGATTGTCACAATAAAAATTACCGTGATCATGGGTCAAATATGTGAAAGCTTAAAAAATCTTCTGAAAAGTATATACATGGTACACAACATATTATCTAGTATACAGAACAAAGATATTTGATGTATGCCTTTCATCTGTAAGTCTTAGATACAAGGCCACTTGGCCTTTGTATAGACGAACTTGCATTTTTCAGACTAGTTGTATCTGTTTTGTCTGACTTCAGTGTGTGAGACACACCTGATGACATTATCATATAATGTACATCACTTATATGTACAGTAGAAGTACGTATTTGCTGGGGTTATAATGTTGGTACAGCAACAGCTTTATTTACTCTTTATTTTACGTAATCCTAATTGTTTTTTATTCTAAGTTCTGATTTTGGTGGCTTTAAGGAATTTTTTTGTCTGGATTTGTTCGACATTTTTCTGCTGTAATCTTTTTAATATGTATGCTTGGATCATTAAATACTTCAGTAAATTCTAATTTATTACAAAGTAGAAATAGAAATTTTAGCCTCATCAGATTAAACATCTGCATCATGTTGACAATGTACGTTTTGTTAATAGGCGACGAAGTACGTGAAAATGCTAAAGAATTCAGGTCAAGGTCAGGTAGAGGAACTAGAAGAAGTACGAGCACTCTACAGAAAGGAGGCCATGCAGCGACGACTTCTGTACAATCAGGTAACAAAGGCTTATACAGCATAACTCACAGGGCTCATCCATATATGGCATCACTGATAGGGATTATCCATATATGGCAATTTCTAAATTGGAAAACTTTAAGTTGCAATGTATAAATCACAGGGAAGGAACAATATGTAAATGAAACTCATCATTCAGCAATAAATATCACTTAAACATGGTATTTCTTCAGTCTAATGACGGTATTTCTTCAGTCTAATGACAGTGAATGATGGTATTTCTTCAGTCTAATCACGGTATTTCTTCAGTCTAATGACGGTATTTCTTCAGTCTAATCATGGTATTTCTTCAGTCTAATGACGGTATTTCTTCAGTCTAATGACGGTATTTCTTCAGTCTAATGACGGTATTTCTTCAGTTTAATCATGGTATTTCTTCAGTCTAATGATGGTATTTCTTCAGTCTAATCATGGTATTTTTAGATTTTAAAAATGAATGTGATTGTAAATTAATGATTGGACTTGTAGGTCAAGGGGATCAGAGTGTAGATAATGGGTCTACATGTCTGTTGTTGATATTGAATGCTATGAGTACATAGAGAGAGTTCAAGTATATTCTGTTGAATTTATGATTGCAAATTCTTTCTAGCTTCAAGAACTTCGTGGGAACATTCGGGTTTTCTGTAGAGCAAGGAAGGATGACCGCGTGGAAAACTGTCTTAAGTTTCCGTCAGACCAGGATATCGTGGCAATACATCCTCAACAGGGCAAGAAGCTGTTTACATTCGATAGGGTGTTTGGAATTGATACAACACAAGAACAGGTTGGTCCAGAGGAATAAGGGGGACAACTCTCTTTTTTTTTTTTTTTTTTCATTTATCACATCAAAAATGGTATAGAGGAAATTTATGTTATCATGGTACAGTGCAAATTTCAAAACATGGTAGAGTCAACATTTTTATTTGGTATTGAAGCAAACATTTCTTTTTTGTGCTACTCGGCCCAGCATCAGTGATGTAGGCAGAGTGATGAGACATTAATATTTGTGATATAATTCATGTCATGAAAATGTCTCTTTCATTCATGTACACATGCATTTTTTGAAACATTACATTCCTGTACGTTGTATAATTATAAATTAATGTCTGCCTTTGCATTTGGGATCTGACCATGTGATCTAACATCTACAGGTGTTTGCTGACACTAAACCAATTATCAGTTCGTGTGTGGATGGTTACAATGTCTGTCTGATGGCCTATGGTCAGACTGGATCTGGGAAGACGTTTACCATGATGGGCCCAGAAAACAACCCGGGTATCAACAACAGGTAGGACATGTATGATGTTTTTAAGGTTAAGAAGGGAAGGGGCCAAGAATGAGATAGCTTACTGGTTAGAAGGTGTGAGGGAGGGGCACATAATGAAATATCCTGCAGGTACAAAGCTGAGGGATGAGGGGTTAAAACAGGGTTGAGGTTAGAAGGCATGAGGGAGGGGCTCATATTGAAATATCCTGCTGGTACAAAACTTAGGGTAGAGGGGTTAAAACGGGGTTGAGGTTAGAAGGCGTGTGGGAGGGGCTCATATTGAAATATCCTTCTGGTACAAAACTTAGGGTGGAGGGGTTAAACGGGGTTGAGGTTAGAGGGCGTGAGGAAGGGGCACATAATGAAATATCCTGCAGGTACAAAGCTGAGGGATGAGGGGTTAAAACGGGGTTGAGGTTAGAGGGCATGAGGAAGGGGCACATATTGAAATATCCTGCAGGTACAAAGCTGAGGGATGAGGGGTTAAAATGGGGTTGAGGTTAGAGGGCGTGAGGGAGGGGCACATAATGAAATATCCTGCAGGTACAAAACTTAGGGTGGAGGGGTTAAAACGGGGTTGAGGTTAGAGGGCATGAGGGAGGGGCACATAATGAAATATCCTGCAGGTACAAAGCTGAGGGATGAGGGGTTAAAATGGGGTTGAGGTTAGAGGGCATGAGGAAGGGGCACATATTGAAATATCCTGCAGGTACAAAGCTGAGGGATGAAGGGTTTAGTTGGGGCGAGTTTCGAGGAGGTAAAAGAGGAGCACAGAATGAGATTACCCTACAAGTATAGAGTGAAGCCATGTCATTATATTGTGTGTATTTAGTGTCTTAAATGACTGTGAAGAGCAAAATCTGTAATTCTACTGGTTACTGGTGTAATACAATTTAAAAGGTGTTTTGATGTGTTTCAGAGCTATCAAAGAGCTGTTCCAGGTGTGTCAGGATAGGAAGGAGACCCAGAGTTATATCATGATGGTAAGCTCAGATATGTTAGTGTCTGATCAGAACATTACAGGTGGGACATCCTTATATCACTTGTTAGTGTCTGATCACAACATTACAGGTGGGACATCCTTATATCACTTGTTAGTGTCTGATCACAACATTACAGGTGGGACATCCTTATATCACTTGTTAGTGTCTGATCACAACATTACAGGTGGGACATCCTTATATCACTTGTTAGTGTCTGATCACAACATTACAGGTGGGACATCCTTATATCACTTGTTAGTGTCTGATCACAACATTACAGGTGGGACATCCTTATATCACTTGTTAGTGTCTGATCACAACATTACAGGTGGGACATCCTTATATCACTTGTTAGTGTCTGATCAGAACATTACAGGTGGGACATCCTTACAACGTTCATTAGTGTCTGATCTGAATATTATAGGTGGATCTCCATTACAATGCGTCATTAAGACTGTTTATCTTTTGCAAATATCAGTTGAATTCTGTTGGTGTGATGTCATTGTAGGTTGGATTGATTGAGATCTACAACGAGACAGTGGTCGATCTGCTCTCAGATGATGCTAAAGTGATCGACTTGAAAACTGTAGGCAACAAAGTCAATCTTCCAGGCCTCATAGAAATCCAAATCAAGTCGCCTGACGACATCAAGAGCGTCATGAAGAAAGGAGACAAGAACAGATCGGTGGCATCAACAAAGATGAATTCTACAAGGTATCACATAAACATATCATCACTGTAGTGAGGGTATCACATAAACATATCATCACTGTAGTGAGGGTATCACATAAACATATCATCACTGTAGTGAGGGTATCACATAAACATATCACTGTAGTGAGGGTATCACATAAACATATCACTGTAGTGAGGGTATCACATAAACATATCATTGTAGTGAGGGTATCACATAAACACATCATTGTAGTGAGGGTATCACATAAACATATCACTGTAGTGAGGGTATCACATAAACATATCACTGTAGTGAGGGTATCACATAAACATATCATTGTAGTGAGGGTATCACATAAACATATCATTGTAGTGAGGGTATCACATAAACATATCATTGTAGTGAGGGTATCACATAAACATATCATCACTGTAGTGAGGGTATCACATAAACATATCATTGTAGTGAGGGTATCACATTAACATATCACTGTAGTGAGGGTATCACATAAACATATCATTGTAGTGAGGGTATCACATAAACATATCATTGTAGTGAGGGTATCACATAAACATATCATTGTAGTGAGGGTATCACATAAACATATCATTGTAGTGAGGGTATCACATAAACATATCACTGTAGTGAGGGTATCACATAAACATATCATTGTAGTGAGGGTATCACATAAATCATTGTAGTGAGGGTATCACATAAACAAATCATTGTAGTGAGGGTATCACATAAACATATCATTGTAGTGAGGGTATCACATAAACATATCACTGTAGTGAGGGTATCACATAAACATATCATCACTGTAGTGAGGGTATCACATAAACATATCATTGTAGTGAGGGTATCACATAAACATATCACTGTAGTGAGGGTATCACATAAACATATCATCACTGTAGTGAGGGTATCACATAAACATATCATTGTAGTGAGGGTATCACATAAACATATCACTGTAGTGAGGGTATCACATAAACATATCATCACTGTAGTGAGGGTATCACATAAACATATCATCACTGTAGTGAGGGTATCACATAAACATATCACTGTAGTGAGGGTATCACATAAACATATCACTGTAGTGAGGGTATCACATAAACATATCATCACTGTAGTGAGGGTATCACATAAATATATCATTGCAGTGAGGGTATCACATAAACATATCACTGTAGTGAGGGTATCACATAAACATATCATCATTGTAGTGAGGGTATCACATAAACATATCATCATTGTAGTGAGGGTATCACATAAACATATCATCATTGTAGTGAGCACAGCTCGAATGGCCTGGAGTCTGAACATAACACATGCAAATAAGACTTGTTCTGTGTCCATCTGAGTAAAGGGATTGAGATTTACTTTTGAATGGAGTGTTCCTGGATCAAAGAACTAGATGTTTTAATCAAGAATGAACTCCTCTCTGGCCAAAAGGGAAGTCCAGTCAGACACATTACACTATGAAGTCATATCTTAATTAAAAGTTTTTCAAAAAGAACATACAATATCAATAGAGATGTTGTTTGGGGTGCGGTGGGGTTGTGGGGAAGGAGGGATGGGGTGTAAGCCCTATAGCTCTAATAATTGAATTTTCAGTTGATAATGATGCATATGTTTTTCTTGTATTTCTTGCAGTTCCCGATCTCATCTTCTTCTACTTTTGAGAGTTGAAGGTCATGACAAGGTCACAGGGTCAGTAAGCAAGGGGACACTGACCCTTTGTGATTTAGCAGGGTCAGAGAGGATATCAAAGACAGAGGCAGAGGGTCAGCGGCTAGTGGAGGCGGCTGCTATCAACAAGTCTCTTTCTGCCCTTGGACAGGTAAACGTGGACATCAAAAGAAGTAATAGTATCTAAGTGTAAGAGAGCTCCTCGGCAACTTGTCAGTGCTTGTGCTGTACAGCTGTCATAGTTTCCATCCCACCCAATCAATTAGAAATGTTAGACATAGAGAAACAATGAATATTGTGTATATTTATGTTTGTTGGTGCTATGTTAAACATTAACATCTTATGTTTTGGTGTGTGACAGGTTTTCCAAGCCTTACGAACCAGCCAGCTGCATGTACCCTACAGGAACTCAAAGCTTACTCAGATTTTACAGCCTTCCTTGGGTGGGGACGCAAAGGTATGTAATGGGTTATAAAAATGTGATTGTGTGTCTCCAGCTTTGTCAGATAAACTGTTCAGGAATGTGACAATGCTGGCTGATAATTTTGATTCTAATCGATAATTATAATTTCAATTTTGATTGTTTATTACAATTTTGTGGAATGGTATCAATTATCCATGCGTCAGGCATCACTTTTTCACTTAGATGACCTCTTCTCAATAACCAATAGGTTAATAATAATATTGAGCTGGAAGGTTCCTAGGATAAATCCCAAAAGTTCGCAAATAGAAATAACCTTGACCCATATTCAAGGTCACTGGGGTCAAATTGGTCAAAACTATCAAACGACATCTGCTAATTGAGAGACTTTGAATGTCAATGATGAAATGTTGATGTACTTATGAACAGGTTTGAATACTTTTAATTCTGACTGATAATTGTAACATCAGGTTTTAGTTTATTTTAATGCAATGCTGATTAATGATATATTTAATTCTAATTAATTAAGATTGTTGCAATCCTGTTGACAATCACACACATAAGAGATGTAAATTCTTGACTTTTTTAATTTTGATCATCGGAGAAAATTTTAATTTCGAATGATAAAGATTAACTTTAATTATGATTACAGAAGTTATTGTGATAAAATGACTTTTATGATTTTTATTAAAAAATTTGTAATTGATATTAAATAATGTTGCAGGCCTGTCTGTTTGTGAATGTGAGCCCTGATGTGAATAACTCCAGCGAAACGGTCAGTACTCTGACATTTGGTGCCAATGCTAAGCAAGTTGCCCTGGGACAGGCAAAACAGAACATCAAAAAAGGATCCTGATGATCTGCTCGAGAAATAGTATCTTCAACCTCCTCTGCCTTATCTCTGATTATCAACCTACTGAACTCCGCTCCAGTAATGAACATTTTGTTTAAGCTATACCCTTGATAGTGTAGCCATCAGTTTTTGGATATTACTTTCAAAGTCTGACTGTTGATGTAATGGTAAATCCACTATACAAAATCTGGTACATTATATACGTCTCATTTCTGAATTTGTATGTGAAAGCGCAATAAAATGACAGTGTTGGCTGTCATTCTGTTATTCTTTTATAATTTGCAATTGGTTTCCATCCGTTTTCTCTTTCACAAATAGAGATATTGAAATGAAGTTTAGAATGAAGGTGTCTTGTTAGTGGGTTTTTATTTGCCTCTTGTCAGCTATTTTTTTCCTAGAGTGAATTTCAAGAAATTATCACTTTCCACTCATTTTCTCAGAGCTGTAGGTGTTTATTTCACTAAAATGTGACATGAAGTTGTATTAGGAGAAGATACTGGTCAACTCTATATGATGTTCAGCCAGCTTAAAGTTATGAAGCTTGAACTTTCAAGAATGTCCTGTGTTATGCTTATTTTCTTATGAAATGATGGGGATATTGAGCAGAAATTTGATAAGTAGTCAAAAATGTTTTAACCAAGTGAGGTGATCATTAATTAACTTTGGTTTTAGCCTTGATCAAGAAATACTTGTCATGCATCTTTTAAAAAGTCAGTAACATGGAAAAGCTTCATAATTCTCATCAGTTGTTCGCAGTGGCATTTACATGTCACATGAACACATATAAGTGAATATGTGATATAGAAATACCAGTGATATAGAAAATTGATCACTGAAAATTTGTTTTCTTTATATATATCTTTTGGAAAAGAGATTCTTTAAACCTAAGGAATTCTTGTCTAAATCATTTTCATTTAAATCGTTTTTACAATAGGTTTAGATTTATCATAGAAATATGTTTGTTTAGCTTTAGTATACAAGAATTCAATTGCTTCAAATCACTAGAAAAATTTGTGTTTGTATTTGTGTTCGATATTAATGGCACTCAGCTTGATGATTCTATATTTGTTTATATATACACTAATATATACATACATATATATATATACATCGATAATATTTATTTCATCATCTCATACATCGTATGTTGTTGGATTTTTTTTTTTTTTTTTTTGACAAAATGGCAATCTTGTTTATTGTGTTGGTTGTTGATATATTGTGTATTATGATGAGAGGTCTACCAGACATCTCGGACAGCTGTCTACCTCCACAGTGACCACTGATCTGTTACTGCTGAATGCACACCTAAAAATCTCCACTTAATTATTTTTCTATTTTTCTGTGACACATTATCAAAGTTCTGTCTGAAGTCTCAATGCATCAAATCATTAACTACTGCTTAATATCTGTAATAACATGTCTGTTCCAGCTGCATGGATACATAAAAAAAATCTCAGCTCATTTCATATTTTTCTGTGATCACTTATGAAAGATTTATGTAAAATCTCTATGCATTAATTTATAAACGGTTGTTCTGTATGAAGTTGATGTTAGCTTTCTTGTAGGTGTACAAGTTAATTATACATGGAAAAAATGTTCTTATTTTAGCTATAATCGTATTGTAGTGTTTTACACTGAAATAAGATTATTATATTGACAGTCTCTTTATGTTGTCTATATAGCAATTGTTGAGGATTCACAGATTCATCATTGCACTACTCTGAAGTGTGATTATGTGACAAAAAAAGCACTTTTTATTTATTGAAAGCTGGTTGCTGACAAAAGTATAAGGCTGTGTTCAGGAAATGTATATCATGATACTTCTATAATATTTGGCTGCCTTTTTTTTTTAATTGAAAATAACCACTGATTTCAAATTTTAGTGAGAACCCTGTTGACACCGTAATACACGGGTAAGATTCAATATTCAATCTTGATACCCAGCCCGGTCAGATTTTTTAACTCTCTTTCAGAATCGTAAAGTAGTAAACTAAATGCATGCTAACTCTGTGTTAGTGTTAACCATTTCTCTCAAGTGATAATCCTGTCATTTTAAAGTAAAATTTGACAACAAAGATTTAATTTATCAAAAGTGTTATCATACCTAAATAAGTTAAAAAAATTTGAAAAATATAATCTTGAGTAAAATATATTTTCTTGTATGGAATTCATGATTACATCACAGACTTAAAATCTGTTCGGAGTCTGTGGTCATATTCTCCACAGGCTTCTAGATATTCATTATTTACGGAGTTACATTCAGTTGTAAAGTGTTGACCATAGAGAATAGTTTACATGTATTTATGTAGTGTGTGTCTTTATCTTTAGAGTTGCCCTCATTTATCCAATGTCTGTTGTCATTGGTAGGTCGATTACCTTCATGTCAACTTAGTCGTAAAACTATTGACAAAAGGTAATTAAGTTTGCGTTGTTACAGTTTGTATGCTTGACGAGGATATTTATAGACATGAATGGTTACAAATTGTGACACATTTTCATGGCTTGTGCAATAGTTTGTATAACAAACAGCTGGATGACAGGTTGATGTAATCAATAATCAAGATTATTTCACATGAATCATGGTTTTGTCATTGAAATGATAACTTTAACTTTAGTGTTGCAGTGATTTGCATTTCAAACATACAATGTATTGTAGAGGTTAAGGATTGTTGATATTTATATGTAAAAAAAAGATATATATATATATATATATAAGAATATGTTAGTAAACTTTAATTTGGTTGATTAGCATGCAAGAGGTCAAGTTTCTTTGACCTTGAATGACATGTGAAAGAACGTTTCTAAGATATTTCTTGACACGAGGTCAGATTTCTGACCTCAATAACAAAGAAGAATTAATGCATCTGTGTGTTTGAATATATGTGAGGGGAGCATATGACAAGTAGTTTTAGACAAATAACATTGAAACCCCCGATGTGATTGTGTGATGTTTAGAAATCTTGTACAGTGGAAACTGTAGTGCTGGTGATACTATTGAACTGTTGATCTGTGATACTAATTTATTTTTATAAAGTGTTATACATACAAGTAATGTTAATTTTTTTTCTCTAATCTATACGTCTTTGTACATCATAATATCGTGAAAAGTGTCTCAATTTCATTGTGATTTAGAATCACCAATCTTTGTAAGAAATATTTTGATATGAGGATGCACGATGAAACAAATTCATGTCTGGTTATTGACTTTTTTTTTGTTTTTTGTTTTTTTTTTTTAAATTTTCAAATAAATATTTGCTTTGGAGTAAATTTAGGGACCGAGCAAAACCATAGCCATGTCTGTTTATCTTATGTATGTGTCTGTGTGCAATAATTCTTACCATATGTCATTTTTTTTGATAGAAAATGTTTTATTTTGCATGTATAATATACAATGGGTCCAGTAGAGGTAGATTTGGATTGAACTTTGTGAATCACTACCCGACATATTGAACACTTTGTATAGAAAAACCAAACAAAAATTACTGACATGTCAATAGAATCTTAGTTCAAACTCAGATAAATCTAAATGAAACTAGGGCAAAATAGAAAAAGTACAAGGAGAATAAGTCTTTGATGACACCCACCATGTACGATCTTGGCCTCTCCATGAAATTTCACCTTTCCAAATATGACCAAGGGAAACAACAACAAAACCATCAAGTATGCTAACAAGCATACAACATGTCACACTTCAGAGATGAGTTTGTCAATTGTACAGAAAACCTCAGAGATGAAGTCATTCCCAATCCTGGGAAAATTTGGCGGGCATGAATAATATACAAAGGCTTGGTTCTAGTTCTAGTCTGTGATTTCATTGCATAATTGCATGAACAACAATCACACTGTTTCTCAACAAGAGGGAAAAAAATCTTGAAAACTTCAGAGTATACTTTTTGTAACATCATATAATGACTTTAATTAAAATCAATTTAGAAAACTTCAATAAAATGTTATATTTGGTGCAGAAATGTGTTGTGTCTCCAAAACAGTGCTGTTATTTGGGTACATTTATCAGAATTTCTATTGTGCACAGACTTTATTTTTTATGGGTAACGTTATTTAAAGGATGTTTTAACAACAGAAGGGTAAAAGCCTGTTTTCACACTAATGTAACTTATCAAATCATTTATTAGTATTCATGCAATATTTATTACATTTTAGGTCTCATGGTGAACTACTCCAATCACGATCCAGCATCGGGCGTCGTGCATCCATAAAAGAATTTTCAACTTCTGAAAAAAACCAGATCCCATTTCAATCAAATTATGCAATAACCTTCCCTGGACCAAAATGAACAAACATTTTGAATTATACAGTCCTCAAACCCCCAGGGGCCTGAGGGGCTGGGCCAAAAGGGGTCAAATTGACTCTGATTTCAAAAATCTTCATCTCAAGACCCAGATATGGTAGAATCAAATACTCATCATGAATGGAAGCATCTTAAGGTGCTTTACCAAAATTGTGAATTTCATGGCATCAGGATCTCGCATTTCCCCATTGGGAGGAGGTAAAGTTTACTATAGTTCATATTGGAAAACTAGATTTTTGAGCATGTTTGATTTTTCATTTGAAATATTTCAAACTTGGTTAGAATTATGAGTCAAGGATGACAGCATGATGGTATGCCCATATTGATCCTAGATTTTTAGGCTGACCTTCAGGGGCTAATTGGCAAGGCCAAAAAGGGTCAGATTGACTTAAATTTCACAAAATCTTCTCAACACCTATATATGGTTGAATCAAATACTCTTCAGGAAAGGAAGCATCTTAAGGCGCTTTAATTACCAAAACGAGTCTCACATTTCTTCCTTGGGAACTGTTGTTTTCATAGAAAAATCATATTTTGGAGCATAATGTTAATTATTTTCCACAGGAAATAACTTAGGAATAAGAATTATCAGTATAGGATGAGAGTTTTGATGGAGTGCATGTAATGACACTGGCTTACTATATTCAGTGTCACAATTCTGTTTCACAACACTTGGGTAACTATCCTTTAACCATTATATTCAATATTGCTTATCCCAGGTGATGGTCAAGGCCGCTAGGCCTATCGTTATAAATTTAATCATTTCTGCTCTTCAAATTTATCCCAAGTTAAGTATGTACAACTGGGAACTACGGGGAAACTACTTATATTTGATAAACCTGTTTCCTCATGAACTGCTCAAGAAATGGCAGTAACATACTTATAACCATCAAAATCCAAGATGGCCACCTCTTGTTTTCCTGATTAATCCCAAAATGGCAGTGCAAAATAACGACCAAGGGAACCGGTTTTACATAATTCAGTGATGGTCCATCCAGAACATTTCAACAAATAGTGATAACAAACTTCAAATGTCTGACTGAACGGTAGCAACTTTTAGATCAGTCCCAATATTAATTGTCTGAAAATGCAAAGTTTCAACAAGATCCACTCGATACTCCCAAAGAAATTGGGACAACAAATAACAATCTTCAGCTTTCAAAATCCAATTTTGCCTCTGCCAACCTTTTTTTTTCTTCCAACCATTCCCAAAAGTGATCATTCACAACTTGGGACCTAAGAGAAACCTACCATTGATTAAAGGATTCAGTCGTTAAATAGCAATAATAACAATTTGAACAGCCCCCTATCCGAAGACGGTAGGCTAAATAGAGAAAGCCATCACAAACTTCTATAAAAACTTTTGCCCCATTCAGCTATTGGATCCTTTTCAACTTCAGCAAACTTAAGGTCTTTATCCAAGATTTCCCCGCAATGTGAGATCAAGTGAATAAAAGAATACTATTCCACTTCATCGCGTCCAGATTGCATCAGACTGTTTTCGTATTTGGTGAATCCACTGAACAAGTAATGACTTCAAAAGAAAATTGCAAATTATGGATATGAAGTATTTTAATTTTCACTAGTTCAGAGCTCCTGACAACTAATTTCAAACTCGTTACAACTATAAATCTGGTTTGGGTCATTTTTAAGATTGCTGCTATCTTCATTATTGCATGTGTGACCTCGTATCGATTTTGAATTCTGGGCTATTCCAGTAAAGAAAAATGTCCACACCAGATTTAGTCTAGAGATAAAGAGTACCTGTCGAAGTCAATTTAATTGAGAATTTGCTTATAATATTAATAGGCAGGAACCCAAATCTGGGAGATTTTTATCTTGGGTTCCCAGGTCCAAAAGTTTTTACTGGAATAGCCATTTATCACATTAAGGATAAAACAGATTCTCACATATACCACTACACAAAAAACACTCAAGAAATTAAAACCTCCATTAATACATCATTTTTATTGGAAAATTTTCATAATTACACAAGTTCATTGCTTCCAGAACAATGCACTGGACATGCGAAGTCATATATAAAAAATGACTTCTTCCGAACACCTTGGAATGACTTTGGGAACACGAATACATAATGCTGATATTTTCCACACACAAGTCCCCAATCCTCTATATCCAGTCTACAAAGTTTTGGCAGCAGTGGACTTTGGTCTCTCTGTATTGGTGATATCTTAAAATTTTGTACAAGAAACAACTTTGTGTAGATTCATATTTGTATCTTAACTTTCCAGAAAAATATGACATCTTCAAAATGAAGCAGCATCACAGGTACAGATGAAGAACGGAGAAGATGCCAAATATAGTACACGGATGTTCCTCAGAATAAAATATTACCAATACAGTTCACCAATAAAGCATTAACACAAGCCAGGCTTGGGCTGATCAAACATTTTCTTAGTAATATAATTGATAAACTATATAAACTCCTCACTCCACCAACTTGAAAAATAAGCTGCCTTAGAGAGAATGTGAACACCACCTCCTCTTCACCGACTTCAACCTACTTGCTCTGTAGATATAGCAAAGGATACAAAACTAAACATTGTCCAAAGACATCACTCAAGAGAGTGTTCTGATAACAGCAGGTCCATTAAATTTACGATTTTGTATCTTATCTATATTGAATCACCAAAACACTGAGCAATACTATTAAGAGCTAGCTCGACTTTAGTGTGACCAAGTTTTGTATCCTCTCCTATTTTGACACCATCTCCTCCTGACCATCAACATCACCAGCACGGAAGCCATCCATCAAACAGAAACCATGGCCGCCATTAAACATTGTATGCAGCCAATAGTTGTATGCTTACAGTGAACTAAAATAATTGAATAAGTCATCACAGACATAGATATTCTTATTTTAACAAAAATAAATGTACCATTCATTTTTGTTTGGTGTATGGCTTCATTGTATATTTGAATATTTTAAAAGTTTTAAAATTTTATTTCACACATTGCAGTGAAAATTAAATCTGCTGAACAAAGGTATAAAAATATGCATTCATCAAAAATTTCACGTTAGCAGACAAGCAAGACTTGGACTGTCAGCAAATAGATTCAACCTTCTATAGAATCTGTATCTTCCAGTACACCAAGACATGCATATGCTGTCAAACACTAACGGTGTTTATCTAAGGAATAATGCATCAGTTTCACTGAAAAGTGAAGAATATATATGGAATAGCAATCTTATTGCACTACAACCAAATTGAAGTATTTTCATTTCTTTCTACTTGATAAAATTGTTAATTTCGTTTGTGAAGCAAATTTTTGCACAAAATATTGTACTGTACAAATATCAAGTTCACTAGAATACTAATTCAAAACTGTGCATTAAATTCAGCAGATTGACAATGTCTCCCATTACATTATCTAAAAAAAATAAATAAAAAAAGTTCCTGGTTTCTTGCTCATGATTTCAAGTCCAATGAGCAAGAACTGAACACAGCTTTTTGCTCTGTTCTTTTTTCATACCCATTCATTATCCTAGATTCATTAACATATACTGGCCAAAATACATAAAGAATGGGGGCAAAAGTTAAATCTTCACCTTCTATACAAGAATTCACCATCACTGTAAATTTACCTTTATTTCCAGTGAATTCATTTAGTTCAACATTAAGAGCTTTTCAACTCTCGCATTTCTTTTTCATTAGTTAGGGTTGAAAAATCCATAAATTTCAAAATGTGATGCAACAATTTATAAACGATGAATCTGGACCGACGTGCCCTACCTCACCATGTCTCGGAGCTCAAAAACACAATACAAACATCTATGTACAGATAATGACTAAGCATCTAAAACTTGGTAGAACTGGCCGTTTGGTGGGAACATCCGATAGAACCAAGCAAAAACCAGTCCATAGCAAAATCATTTTGCAATTGTGAACGAAACATTGGTACTTTATTCCAAAAACAAATGGGCGTAAAAAGTAAGATGACAAAATTACACCAACTAATTCCATATCTGTTTTTTTTTCTTTTTTTTTCAAAGCATTAAACATGTTTTCTACTGAATATAACATAACCGAAAGTACATACATTTTTGTCTCTTAAAAACCTTACAATTATCAAAGGCATAAATTCTCTTAATTTGATCTAGTTTAAATTGTGGTTATAAACATGTAAAAGCAGCCTAGAACTTAGTATATGTCATTCAAGTTGCTGATACTTAATCACATACATTATAGTAATCAACTTTTCACAAAACGGAAACTGACAGTCTAGTATAAAATATATCATCTTTCTGTATGACAACCTCCCTCATTAAAACATGAAATAATATTAGAACAGAAGAAGAAAAATAAATGAATTGTCAAAATGTCATCAAGTTGTCTCGTGGACCTCGCCAAATTAACACAGAAAAAATATTTTTTTCACGTTGATTGGATACATTTCTATCATTTTAAACAGGTATCAATGACTAAAAAAGAACACTTAAAAAGATTTTCAACAACAGGAAAAGAAAAATAATGAAAAATGAAATAGAATGTGGTACACCACAGAACATACAAAATCAAGGGAGGTTCACACACGACTCCTACCAACAAGGTAACAAACAAGGAGATGTTACAACTACTACATTGTCCATGATGTCATCACAACTTGTGTTATTTGTGAGGTCCAGACTCCAGGGTAGTAGGCCCTTTCTAGTCTTCGTTTTCCTCGCACTCACGAGCAAGGTGCCCTGGTTCACCACATGTGTAACACTTCTGTTCGCTACCCCCGCTTCTGCACTCCCTTGCAAAGTGTCCAAGATCTCCACATCTGAAATTAGGAAGTATGAATTCTTTGATTGAACTGCATCTTAAAATATAAAATAGATCGTCAAGTTGCATGTTGCACTGCCCTGATGAGCCCAATACAGGAGAAACCAGGCAATGATATATTGACCACCTAAATTTTAAAAGCCGTTATTTGTTATGTTAACCTCCTACTTCTCACTCATCAATATACAGAAAAAACTGTGTTACTTTGTTTATAAGCATTCCATCATAAAGGTAACAAACATTCAGAAATCAAGGTGCAATTCAATAGCTTTTTCAAATCAAGAAAAATTCTACTTCTGCATATCTGTTACAATTTCATTTTATTATTCCAGGTTTAAAATCACAGGTTTTCTGTCCAGGTAGAAAATTATCCATCATTTGTCACCGGTGTATCTATTTTTCTCTCACCTTCATTTTAATCTTACCATCATCTTACCAGCTCTAATACATAGCGTAATCACTATACACTATATAGTTTAAGTTGCGTTGTGTTCAAGAAGAAACTAGTTACTTCTGTTTGCTAGGTTTAACAAAACCTGATAAGTTGGAATGATACATGAAATGTCTGTAAGACATGAACGGGCCTGCTCTCTGTGCAACAATAAATTCAGTAAATTTATAATATTAACAGACAATATATAAACCTTACTTGTAACATTTTAGACGTGATTGTTGTTGGCCCGGTTCATTGCAGTCCCTTGCAAAATGAGGGCCACCACAATTAAAGCAGCCAGTGTTGCCGCGACGGCCACCGCTGCTGCTGCCGCCACCACTGCCACCTAAACCATTTCCAGAACCTGGGTTCGTACACTCCTTGGCAATGTGGCCAGAAGTACCACATCTGTAGCAAGATTTATCCTGAGTGGGTTCTCCACAGTCTCGACTAAAATGACCTGGCTTGCCACAGTTGTAACAAGTGTCTGAAACCCAGTACATTTTTACATTATATACCAATGAATATGAACAAAAATCTTACAAAACAGTGATTGTCATCAATATGTTCTTATCACTGATGGCTTTCTTCTTTTGACCCATTCTGCTGGTTTCATCAGCCATCATCTATAACTTAATAAGTTTGTGATTCTGTGCAAAAAAATAACAAAGTTACAGTAGAGATGTTGCCAAAACAAGTAGATTTGGAATATTGTGTTTTTTCTCTCTTTACCTGGCAGAGATGTTAAGTATGACATCTACCAACAAGAGTTAATAACTTTTTAAATTTTTTCCCCTTGTAATGTGCAGACAAGACCAATCTGTTGGTTTCAGATTTTTAATGAAATGTTTTATTTCAGATTTTCATGTTATGAAGTGTTCCTGTCAGACTACACTCCATCACAAATGACTGGGAACTCCATACATTATGTATATCACTTATACATGCAGTTTCTTACAAACCAAAATTGGATAAAACATTAATTCATATTTATATAAATATCTTCAATATCAAAAGTGCAATCACAAGGGGACAAAACTTGTAACAAGGGTTTTAACCGCTCACATGAATATTCCATGCAAAATGATTAGATAGTAAAAGTATAGAAACAACTTTTTAGAATTCCTCATTTGGGTACTAGATCTGGTATGGCCTTAAGTTGCACTGCATAACTACTGTGCATGATTTAGAAAAAAGTTGAAACCCGGCTCCATATATTACAATTTCAGAACATTCATTAAAAAAATTTACCATATTTTCATTGCAAACCTAGTTTGCAGCTAATGCAAGACACTAATTATAATCGATAACCAAATCATTGTGTTTATGCAATTGTTAATTTGGAGACAGATTCTCATCGAGGGAGAGAAAAAGGTTGTGATTAATAAAAGACAGACGGAGATGGCACCATATCCTAAGCTTGACTGGAGTACTTCTGTACAAAGGAGATTAATACTTTTATCATAATCCATCATCACTAATACCAAGAGTAAGCTATTCACTTTGCACACCAATTGATCAATTTCTTTTTCAATAACATTTGCATTACCAGGTAAAAAAATGTTATTTGTCAAGAAGTAGACCCTGACGCCATAAAGGGAGACGCACCCTTCACTCTGTCCTGGGTACAATCTTCAGCAATATGACCCATTCCGTTACAGTTGTAGCAGCGGGGCAGTTTGTCATCCCGACAATCTCGAACCATATGGCCGAATCGATTGCACTTGTAACACTTCGCTGATATTAAATAAACAAATAAGCAATATAAACTACTACTTGTTATATCACAATGTCAGCGTCAGAAGCTACATCACAGAAACAGGCAAGAAACAATTCTTGTACTTCCAAATTAGAAATCAAAGTTGAAATGTAATTCTATTTTTCATTAGGAACAACTTTGATCAATTAGTTTCACTAATAATGACTTATAATGTACCTACTACAGTACAAGAGTGACAGAAATCTTTCAGTAGCAGTGATACCAACCTCGCACCATCAATGTTTATATTTGATATTGTCAAAGATATTTCAAAGGTCATGAACTATGATCATACTTGTGAAGTATCATTATAATTGACAAGAAATATGGTCACATGTGACCAAAGCAAATGTGATAGTGCATTAGTATTTGTTTAAAGTGACCTTAACTCTCAGTTACAAAAAAAACAAAGAAAAAAAAACAGACAGCTTATTTTCAGCAACAGTATGCAAAATAAAACAAAACTGGAATGTTTTTGACCATTACAAATCCATACTTTCACATTAACAAATGGTAAGTATATTGTTAATGACTATTTATACTGGGTATAGTTCACCAGAACCAGAAACAGACCTAGATATGACAATAAGTTGCCCAATTTGAAAGTAGTGGACATAAAACTAGTGACTTCCTATGCTACTAAAATGAGATCAAGAAAAAGAAGTGATGAGTGAATGATAGTAAAGAAAATGGCTTTTAGTATACCTCGACATAGCACCATGTAAATCATAATATTTTTGTATAATAAATTGACCCATTATCTAAAATTTAGACTGAAATGGCTTCAAACGACCTTATTGCAATACCAGTTGTTATTAATTTTGCTTTAATATATATTGCAACTGATCAATGTCATGTACTTAAGACAATCAACATTTCTGGATCTGCTTCTCCGAAAAGAAATCCATGTTAAGTGCAAGCACTTTCATTCAATAGCATGTAGAATTCATTGCTGAAATGAAACCAAGTAAATTGGACACAGATCTATCAAAAATATTCTAGCAAACATCTTCAATTCAAAATGTTTTTTATCAGTAAAATCAGTTGGTGTGCTGTAAATATAAGAAGAGAAAAGGCTATGACAATCTAAACAGTATCTAGATTGGTCAGATACAGGTTTTTTTCACTAGCTGGACAAGTGGTCCATGACAAATCAATGTTTTAACAAATGTCATTCTCATATGCAGCAGCTACCTTTGGAAATAAAACTGCAGAGATTTTTTTCACCAAATAATATTGCTAATATGAGTTTGATAATCTTTGGAAACTATATGCTTCCAATACCAGGCTTAATCAAGCAATCTTATTAAGAGACAAAATAAGACTGAAAATTCTTTTGCTATGTTGACCAAGAAATATTTAGAACATAATGAATATGATGAAGACATACTGCCTGATTTTCCTCTTCCACGCCCCCCGGCACGGCGGTCCCCACTACTGCACTCCCTGGCAAAATGGCCAGGCTTGCCACAGCTGTAACACATTGATCCACTCATTAGGTCCGATCTCCCTTACTCTACCCAACTGTTAAAGACAAGAAAACAAAAACAAAGATGAATAACATCAACTTTTTTACAATATTGGAAAAATAGAAAATGAATTACATTTTCCTTTACATCAAATTTGCATCAGTATATATTTGACTTTTCAATTTAAAACACATTAATAACAGTTAATATAGCGAGTAGGTGTTAAATGTATCCAACAAAAATATATCCACGTCTCCTGATGCAATGCCACATCAAAAGTTACTGGTAATATAGCCAAGACTTGTAATAGAATAAAATGATTTTTAAAAATTCAAAATTGCCTACTGACTACAAACATTGACTTAAGTATCAAGTTTCCCCCCCCCAACCAAGAAGCTATTAAACATGAAAAGATCTTTGCAAGCGAGGCATCATTGTTAATTCTTCCAACACAACCAGTAGATTTCATTCTATCAACCTAAAATAATGTTCTGAAACTCCATCTTGTGTTCTAGTAAGACATTGCTTATTGTACTATATCTCCATCTTGTGTTCTAGTAGGACATTGCTTATTGTACTATACCTCCATCTTGTATTCTAGTAGGACATTGCTTATTGTACTATACCTCCATCTTGTGTTCTAGTAGGACATTGCTTATTGTACTATACCTCCATCTTGTTTTCTAGTAGGACATTGCTTATTGTACTATACCTCCATCTTGTTTTCTAGTAAGACATTGCTTATTGTACTATCATCCAATGATATCAATATTGGAATGTATGTAATGTCAACATTATACTAAGAACTGCTTTGTCCCAATATTTTCATTGAAATTAATTTATTGACAACAATAAACAAGCAACTTTCAGTCAGTAAATTTGAATAATGTACCAATACATGTAGCGAGTTCAAATTAAATGTCAATATTTCAAGAAATATTCGACGATATGACAGTCCTAGTGGGCAATGATGATGAATCAATAACCAATTGACAATTTCTGAAAATGATTTTAACTCAAAGTCAACTGAAAACACTGACTACCAAACACTTTGAAAATTGAACTCAAGTTAATTTTAATAGCATACTCTGCACACCGCACACCATATTTCATCAGCAATGTTGTCGGTTGTCATATGTTTACCTAGGGTTATGTTAAGTTCTTTTTCCCATTTAGCAACTGTTTTGGCCGATGCCTTCACAGAGTTGCATTTGGGCTGTACCAGTGATGCATCATTCTTGCTTTTTTTTCCTGTAATCACTTCCTTGGCAGAACTATTTTTTCTTTTTTAAGTTGACAAATTTTCTGCCACGGTTAACAATACAAATCTAACTCGGACACACTCTTGTAACATCATTCTGGGTCATCCAGGTTTTCAAACATTTATGTACATGTACAAGGGGTGCTCCGAATGGCGTGTGTGACTTTCATTTTCAGCTTTGGCATGTTACAATTTTACAATACACAGGCTTCAGTTGAGGTAAATTATAACAACAAATGCGTTTTTTTCCATTAACTGCACGTCTGTATTTACATGTGATGTAATTATTACAGTTTACATCTGATATCTCCACTCGCTAAAAAAAGCAAGTGCACATATTTTTCTTACTTGCAATTCTTGGATTTCCACTTGCAAATAGTAAGTAAAACATTAAATTCGCGGTCTGAGTAAGACATTGCTTATTGTACTATACCTCCATCTTGTTTTCTAGTAGGACATTGCTTATTCTACTATACCTCCATCTTGTTTTCTAGTAGGACATTGCTTATTCTACTATACCTCCATCTTGTTTTCTAGTAAGACATCACTTATTCTACTATACCTCCATCTTGTTTTCTAGTAGGACATTGCTTATTGTACTATACCTCCATCTTGTTTTCTAGCAAGACATCACTTATTCTACTATACCTCCATCTTGTTTTCTAGCAAGACATCACTTATTCTACTATACCTCCATCTTGTTTTCTTAAGACATCACTTATTGTACTATACCTCCATCTTGTTTTCTAGTAAGACATTGCTTATTGTACTATACCTCCATCTTGTTTTCTAGTAGGACATTGCTTATTGTACTATACCTCCATCTTGTTTTCTAGCAAGACATCACTTATTCTACTATACCTCCATCTTGTTTTCTAGCAAGACATCACTTATTCTACTATACCTCCATCTTGTTTTCTAGTAAGACATCACTTATTGTACTATACCTCCATCTTGTTTTCTAGTAAGACATTGCTTATTGTACTATACCTCCATCTTGTTTTCTAGCAAGACATCACTTATTCTACTATACCTCCATCTTGTTTTCTAGCAAGACATCACTTATTGTACTATACCTCCATCTTGTTTTCTAGTAAGACATCACTTATTGTACTATACCCCCATCTTGTTTTCTAGTAAGACATTGCTTATTGTACTATACCTCCATCTTGTTTTCTAGTAGGACATTGCTTATTGTACTATACCTCCATCTTGTTTTCTAGTAAGACATCACTTATTTTACTATACCCCCATCTTGTTTTCTAGTAAGACATCACTTATTGTACTATACCCCCATCTTGTTTTCTAGTAAGACATCACTTATTGTACTATACCCCCATCTTGTTTTCTAGTAAGACATCACTTATTGTACTATACCCCCATCTTGTTTTCTAGTAAGACATCACTTATTGTACTATACCCCCATCTTGTTTTCTAGTAAGACATCACTTATTGTACTATACCCCCATCTTGTTTTCTAGTAAGACATCACTTATTCTACTATACCCCCATCTTGTTTTCTAGCAAGACATCACTTATTGTACTATACCCCCATCTTGTTTTCTAGTAAGACATCACTTATTCTACTATACCCCCATCTTGTTTTCTAGTAAGAGATCTTTGTACTATACCTCCATCTTGTTTTCTAGTAAGACATCACTTATTCTACTATACCCCATCTTGTTTTCTAGTAAGAGATCTTTGTACTTTACCTCCATCTTGTTTTCTAGCAAGATATTGCTTATTGTACTATACCTCCATCTTGTTTTCTAGTAAGACATTCATTCTACTATACCTCCATCTTTTTTTCTAGCAAGACATTGCTTATTACACCTATTATCTAGGCTTAGACTTTCTTGACCCAGTGAACAGACCTGAGCATATGAAAGTTCTATATAACCAGCAATATTGTGGTTCGTAAGACTGAAACATTATAGTAAGTGGTGCATCACATCTTAAATATATCCGACTACTTCGTTGTGATGAACTACTAATTAAAATAAAGTTAGGAATATGTCTTTTTAACTCAGCTGTCTGGCTTCATTGGAATCCTGTTTTATCGTTTTGTAGATGTTGAATCTTTTTTAAAAGAGGTTTCTACTTCATTTTCAACTATTCCATTGTTGTTTGCCCCAGAATCTAGCAGTATGTTGATGAGATAGAAGTCTTTTGAACTCTAGCACACAAGATTCCTAGAAGGGATACAACCCGTCCTTAAGAGGTTTGACTCCCAATTACAGCAAACAATGTCTAAATAAAGGCTTTCCTTTGCGATATTCAATAGGCATAAATTGCAAATGGATTCCAAACTACTAAACACCCCTGTCCAATCAAAAATGTAAGTCAACATCTAGCAGACTTTTAGACTGAACTGAACTGATGAAAACGCACTCCTTAACCCCCAAAAATGTCTCCCTTTTCGGGATGGGGCTTCAGAATCTGCCATTTTCTTGTTCCACTGGAGTTCGGAAATATACTGTTGATCACGTGTGTTGACATCGTGTCTACATAACATACGTATGTATTTTTTTTAGATTTCACTAACAAAATCAAGGTAGAATTTGAAATTAAAATACAGTTCAGGTTTTTAAAATTTTATTTCACACAAAAATGTAAGTCAACATCTAGCAGACTTTTAGACTGAACCTGCACCTCTAAATTAATAATTTAACATCAATATTCACAATTTCCACACAACTGTGCTCATTTGCGAGACTGAAGGTAGTGTTAATGAAACTGGTAGGAAATGTATCAACCCAGGATACAGTGAATTAAATAACATTCCTATTAATTTCCCAATCATTTCAATGCAAAGCAAATTTATTTGCATTACCAACCTCATCAGACCTGATGATGGGTTACATCTAATGCCATTCTATTTTCCCCCCGTCATTCTGACTTGGAAAAATTAAGTTATAGCCAGTCATACTGATCAATCAGGCACTGGGTGGTGTAGCTCAACCTGGCAGTCTAAGACTGTTGGGCTAAAGTTGGGCAGTACCAGGCTGGATTTAGTTTTACTGATGAAAACGCACTCCTTAACCCCCAAAAGTGTCTCCCTTTTCGGGATGGGGCTCCAGAATCTGCCATTTTCTTGTTCCACTGGAGTTCGGAAATATACTGTTGATCACGTGTGTGTTGACATCGTGTCTACGTAACGTACGTATGTATTTTTTTTTTTTTTTTGTAATCGCGAGGTTTCGTCAAATGTAGCAATGTTCAACATCGTGCAAACGCGAAATGGTTTAAATCAGCGATTAAGTACTACTACTGATCACTTGGTCGGTGCCAATGTATGAAACTAAGACATATTATTAGTTCTAGTTTAACTTCCTTCGCGTTGATGACTTCGGAGTGCAACAAAAAACAGTCTATTTTTAGAAATCCATAACACGAGGTTGCCTTTCGGAACATAACTTACACATAAGTAAAATCTAGAGATATTCCGAAGCGCTTTGCCATGACCGACTTTTCCCCAGATGTTTACTTATCGAGTTTTGTCCGACATTATTTATTTAAAACAAAGCTCACCATTTCTAAACATTACTTTCACTATAGAGAAGTAATGAAACCAGTAACCAAACTTTTATCACGTGTATCGATAAAGAAATAGCACAACACAGCGATATGCGTTTTGGCATACAACCACGCGGTGGGGACCAATGTTGTGTCCACCCCAATCTTACTCACGCTCACGTGTTTCAAAATCAATGTCATGTCAAAATAACTTGTGAATTTATCATAAATGTGATATTTTCAACAAAACACACAAAAGAAGAACATAATTCCCTTCCATGTTATATTTTACCTCTCCCTTCTCTCCTGCACCTCTACTAGCTTCTTTTACGCGCGATGATCATCTACGGTTTTGCACACGGTACATAATTTTGGGGTTCAATCGTTAAATTACACGACAAACATGAGGCAACAACGGGGAATGGAAATATAGATATGTCATTACCTTTATTTAGAGAGTGCATGGTCAGTATCTTACAATATGAACTGTATTCTGGCGAGGGTGAAGGAAAGCAAAAGTTGCGAGCTTGCATTCTGTTCCGAGAAAATGGAGCTTATATTCTTAAACACTAGCAATGACCGTGTATTTTGTTTATATCCTGCAACACTTTCAACAGTTGTATTGGTCAGTTTGTTTACCTGACCATGACGTTACGCTGAATTTTGCGCGACGGCATATGCCGAAAAGTTGCTCCATGCGATGCTCCATGGGGTAATATAATTTCAAATTTAAACAAATATAAAAGGTTTTTTTAACAAATACTAATGTTTTTAGATGTTTTAAGAATTTCCAAAAAGTTGTTCCTGCACGTGCTAAATACATTATACTATGAGAGTTGTATTGCGACAATAATAGCGTCAGTTGCTAGGGAAAAAAACTTGATGAATATATTATACACGTCCCGTCTTCCATTCATATAAATTGCATTATACAGTAAATAGTCCTATTTTGGTGGACACGTCTAAATACCCAATACTACCCAATATCAAAAACTACTAATCAATCATACTTTATTGTTAACTAATAATTACAAATACTCAAAGAGCGAAACTTTTTAAATTGTATTTTCTACGAAAAATTGTGTTTTTGTGCTAGATTGTTACCCAACACTACTTTATACCACCGAAGCATTATGGAAGTTACAACTCAATTTTGCCTAAACATTAACTACAAACTGTCGATGATTAAGAATCATACTTCTGACAAATACATTTTCAAAGAAAATCCAAATATCCAAAATACTACCCAAATACCGTTACTTGCAGCAATATACCTATCGCGCATTCGAGTTACTCCCCTTTATACACTTCCTGTAAGGATCGGACGCTTGCAGAGTCTCGTTTGAACCACAGGGATTCGGCACGATATATGTATTAAAGTCACATATATATGGACCGTGGGTCGAAAGTTTGTGCCAAATCCCTGTGGTTTGGGCATGCGTATTTAAGTGAGAAAAAAGTCCAATCCTACATTTTAATGAACAATTTGTAAGTCTATTTAACAAGTGAAATTCATTACTGAAATCAGCAAGTTTAGCAGTGATCGACATAAATCTTACACGTTTGGGGAAATCACTGGAACCTTCTTTCAAATCCTCCGCTTTAATTCATCCTCAGTCTACCGATATATTGAACAGTGTTTTTTAAAGAAAGGTTCGCAAATCCACGGACTTTTATACAGGCCTATATGTATAGATGTCTATATGTATTCTGAGGTTAAATTTTAAACCATTCTAAATTTTGAAAACAAGCCAGGAGATAGATTTTGTGTTTAAAGTGTTGTTATTCCAAAATATTGAAAATGGTGAATAAGTAGGTCCTGCTTCTATTGATCTTAAATATAGATATATATTTATATATATCAACTGGGATATAGTCAGACGAACTAAAAAAGTATTGATCTTAAATATTTATATAGATTTCTGCAACTGATAATCTGGATCTCAGGAGAGGTCCCTGAGGTACTCCGAATCATACTTTCCTTGAAATAGATGTTGTATGGACATCCACCTAGGGATGCATGTGCCTGACTGGAGATAAAATTCTGTGTTTATATGTGATAACATAACGTGCAAATTTACACATTTACAACGCTAAACATGATAGGAGCCCGCTCAATCCGAATTCGTCGCACGGACGGAGACACAGTTTCATGTTATTCGTAAGTTCTTTCTCGTTTATTGTGAAGTAAGTGTACTGTTTTTATATCAAGAAATTATTCAAAACTCATATGCGCTCATATTTTAGCATGCGAAGCTCTGGATTTGTCGTGACAAATACCGGGGTAAGAAATTCCCTTTGTTGGAATTTCCCGACTCTAAATTAGATCGAAATGACGACATTTGCTTTATTCAAGCGATTTCATTGGTTGGTATAATAAGATGATGGATAATCGTCCTACGTCATTTTAAAAGTAATATGCGATTGGCTGAGAAAAAGAAAAGTTATAAACGCGAAACCAGGGGAACCCCTGCAAGGCGTACTCTCGGTATACAGTCATGGACTATCTCCTGACTTCACGATAACCTTTTTTGACGGTGAAATTCCGTTTGCTTTTAAATTAGAAATTAATTGTACATTTTCATGAATACTTCAACTATAATTCGCCGAAAGTAATAGAGTTAATTTTTCATCGATAGCGAACAACGGACGGAAAACTCAACAAACTCGGGCTTTCATTCACAAGAAACTGTTCACTCGCCAAGAACAGTAACTCTCTATATATCTCATAGGACAAGTATTTCCCGCTATGTGTCCAAAGTTGTCTCATATATGATGCAGATTTTTGTGATTATTCAAGTTTTTCAGCTATTTACATGTATATTTAGATGTTGTTTTCTCAAGCTTGCGCCTCGTAGTAAAATCAGCGCCTAATTCTTAGATACAGTTTATAATCATTTAAGTAAACTGGGGTAAAGTCAGACGAACTTAAGTATTGATTTATAATTATTTGAAATATTTTAGCCAGAACAATCTGGATAAATTTATTAACATGAATTGGAAGACTGTGGTAGTTTCATGTTCAGAGCCTTGTGTGTTGTTGCACTTCGTCCAGGTGTTGAGTGTGGAAGATAGTTTCGAGAGACAATTAGTCGGTTGGTTGGTCAGTGGTTGACAGGTTTTCCGTCTCCGTGACTCCTCCTGTTGCCGGTCAGCGACGCACGTCAGTGTCCTGGCGACGTTTCGAGGAACAACCAGTTGTTATATTTATATGGTACCCTAGTATATCCATTGGTGAGATGATATCCGGACAAGGGTGATTTCAAAAGCTCTACCTCGGTTCTCCGTTCAAGCACATGACATCAGGATTAAACTACATATGTCTTCGATGAAGAAGGTAATGCCTACTTTTCCGAAAAACATCGTCACTGAATTACACCTGTAATTATCATGATATAACTATGTAAAGAGATGTATATATCATACATGTTAAACCATCGCTTAATAATTACCATTTCAGAATCTATTCGACATAATTTCAAGACTAGCAGACTTCTTCCAACTCGACAGATCTAAATCGTTTTTACGAAAAGTGGAAAAAGCAGTTCAATTTGAAAATCTGAAAAAGGAACAGGAAACAGTGGTTGGGGAAAATGCAAATTTGAAAAATGTCGGAAACGATAACAGATTATCGATTTAAAGGAAACGCGTTTTAATCAATACAATTGAAACTCGTTGTCTCGAAATCGCTTGAGTCGAAATAATTTCCAAGTCCCGATTTCTTCCCTTCTAAATCTTTGTAATTTTAAGTTCGGATGACTCGTTGAGTCAAAATTTCGTTTGAGCAGAATATAAAATATTTTCCATGATCCCTTGAGTTTCGAGATAACGCGTCTCGACTTTATATAAACGTTACCACTGACTGCTTAGTAATAGAGGTATATGGGTAATATCCGTCTATGATTAATTTTACTGGGTATTTTTTCTTGAAAAAATAGACATCTCTAATCCCTTTTAAAAAAATGCTCATCACAAGAACATTAATTTGATGTATAATTTGTACATGATACTTTGATAAAGGCTATGATTTTTTCGAATTACGTAATTATTTTTCGGGGTATGTAAGAGACTGGAAGACCTACTTTGCAGTAGCGCAAAAAGAAAGGTTCGATTCTCTTTACAACAAAAAGATAAAAAGGAATGACCAAGAAGCATGGTGTTGATATCCACTTCTCCCATGAATAATATGAATCATAAACATGTAATATATTTAAGTTCAGAAGAGATTTTAGAGATACACGTGCACGTAAATGCCTAGACATAGACATCAAATAGTTTCTTTGCCAATGGAGTTCTCAGCAGCACAGTTTAATATTTGTGAATGAGGTGAATCCGGCAATCCTTTGCCAACCCTTTACATCCCCGTGGAATGAAAACACCTGAAGCTACATTTTAATAATCTCGGAACTATTCAAGAAGTGAGACGAATATAGAAAAGTCATGAATATTGGATTCTGATATGTCACTTTCCAATGTCTAAAGTAATGAACAAATAAACAATTTTCAATGCACAATAGTTTTATTATCTTTCACTGAAGAATCACGCTTACAATCGCTACACATCAATATATATATGATGCAGTTCAATTAATAGTTTGTCTCTACTGTATCTTACTCTAAATTTGTGGTAAAATGTGCCCATATAGATTTGGATTTTGAATTTTGACATTTCTTTGATTTTCCCCCATCACTGACGCGTCCTAGAAGGACGCAGCATCTTTATAATGCCGCTTCTTACTTACTCTAAAGACGCTATTCACGTGTCTTTTGAACGACCTTGTAGTCCTCAATCATATTTTGTATGATTAATCCCACAAGAAACAAATTCACTCAAATCTTTCTATAGATTATAGAGGCCACCATTACACAGATGTCGCCTGTCTATAAAAGTCGCTTTTTTGGTTTTCTGCGTAATATAATGGTAAGAACTGAACCTCTATACAAAGCCCTCTCTTCTCTACTCCCTTGAGCTGTCTGTATAGACAGACTTGACTGTAAGTGAAACAATCTTTGTTGTAATATCGCTTCCAAAATGTGCTTTTACAAATCTTTATGTTTTTTTGTTCGACATATACATCAATCCAAAATCAGAACGTAATATACATTATATATATTAAACTATTCTGGTATGTTTTTGTATATATTCTGATCTTCCAGAGTTACTGCCCTTTGTTTCACACATAGCGATAAGCTCGACAGCCGATGCCAGGCCGAGAATGACTGTGAGGCGTATAGCGAATGTTTCCATTTTAAGGATATTACATGTAGCAATTTTCTCAATAATATCACGTTTCGTTTATTATAAATTCAACGATGTTTGTAATGAAAAGTCGCGTTCCCAACCCTCAATATCTCGTCTGACTG